AGGAAATGTCTAGTAGAGAGATTTCATTTGGATAGCAGAGTCTGTTTCTCTAATCATGATTCAAAAAGGATTGGCTTATCTGAGTTATAGTTCCCCCTTTACTTCCTTCAGCAGCTGAAATATTTGAAGGAACTTGTGTGGTTGCCAAAAATAGCAGGCCATTTGTATTTTTGAACCATTAGTCTCTACAAATTTGTTTTGATGCAGCAGATGTACAGTATGTCCTGATACTACACATGATGTTCCCTTACTAGTACCATCCAAGTGTTGTGTTTTTTCCTTGAAAAGTGGAATTCAGGGATTACACAAGTTAATTTTTTTTTCTAATTAGATTCCTACACTCTTGAGAGCCAGTTGACAATGTGAGGCTGACAGTTTTCTTCCAAATGTTTCAAAGGTTTACTTTTTTCCTCTTCATTAAAGTGGCTCTAATTTATACTGGAGGTTTAGCAAAGACAACTGCTAACTGTGAAGCAGGGAAAGTGGGAAATCCCATTCCATCAAGAAAAGCAGCCTTTCCCAGTAAGGATGCTCTGCCACCTCTTGGTTTTCCAGTACATAACAGTGTGTCGAGGTCGGTGACAAATTCTGGCCAACCCATTTGAACTCTCTGGCTGAGCTCACAGCTGGGGAGAGGGAGCCAGACCTGTTGTACCCTGCTTTGGTCAGGACCTGCTTTTGCATATCTATGGTCTCTATCCCTTTTTTCACACTTCACCCCTTTCTTTCACTGGCTGTGTGGTTCCTAAGTTCACAGAAAAGCAAATACTTTGTAAATGAAGTTGCTCTTCATTAGCCATTCCCTAGGATGGAACAGTTAAAGACTTGGTGTATTGTTGCTTCCTGTAATATTTTCTTCTGTCATCAGGCTCTCAAAGACCTCGTGGTGGTTGGTGCTCTGCAAGTAAAAAAAAAAAGTAAACAGCAGTAGCATGGAACACAACAATCCTTGGTAACCATGGGTCAGACTTAGAGAATGAGTATCATTCTGTCCTAAGAAATTTGCCTATTCCATCAGTTCCCTGAAAAAAAAAAGTTAGTCTCACCCTGAAATGCTGGAGGTTTGAGATATTCCCATACTAGATAAGAAGTGTGTTGCAAAGGAGAAATCCCAAACGCTTAAAATCTTTCTAAGGTAACAGACACAAGAGAATCCTTAGTCTTTGTCTATGGCTTCGTGGTAAACGTGATTTTGCTACCACATCTCATTCTGCACTCTACCATCTCCCTTTTGGATGATTTCTTGATCAAACTAAGATTTCTTTCCATGATGTCCTCTGAAAATATCCTGGAATTAAATGTATTTAGCTAAGGCAATCTTCCTTTGTATATATGTTTGTATTGAAAGAATTTTACTTATCACATTTTTTCCATATTGCTTTGTGTATCGATTGAATTCTTGTCAGGAGCATGCCAACATGCTGCTGTTCCTCCTGTATTGTAAACTTTTTCATGTATAATAGATTAATGGCTACTACAGTTACTGATGTGTATAGATGCAGAAAGAACTTGTGCTGTGCCTTAGAAATGAGGGTAAAGACACAAATAGGAGAGTATCAGTGTTCAATGGGTATTAATGATATTCCATTATATGGAATGATATTAGGCAATAAGGGTTAATATCTAGCCACATCTTACTCATCAAAAGAAAGTAAAATTTCCTAAAGAGCAACCATTGCTTTAATTAAAATTTCCTGAAATTTAGCATTTGGGGGGCTCTGGTGGGATTTTTCATTTGGGAGGGATTTTTTTGTTGGTTGGTTGGTTGTGGGTTGTTTTTTTTTTCCTACTGCAGCTTCTACAGTGTCCGTAATTTTGATGAACATCCTTTGAAAATCTGGTACTCTTTTACAGTCCCTTTAGTATCAAATGGATACTACATTCTGGACAAATCACACCAGTTAATGTGAAGAGAGGTAGCTCAGTTTAGCTAATGTTTGGTTATGTGCATAACTTGGGGGTTATGCCGCCTAACTTTATTTGCCTTGTAACTTTTAAGCCTCGTACTATGATGTACCACAAAACTTGGATGACTTTAGCATTTGCAAAGATACAAGCTTCTTCTGTAATAACAATGTTAGAATTTCTTTATTGAGCTATTCTGTGACCTGTTCCTATAAAACTGAAGCTACCACCCACTTTAAACAGCTTTCCTCAGAGCTATTTGCATGTATAGCTACTTTGCACAGCAAGAAGAACTTCTGATGCATATGTCACCAATACTTGAAGACATAACTGTCACATGTCAGTGCTGTCAATGTCAAAATATTCCTGTGAATATTAAGAGTAATGCAATCTATATGAATCTCTTTGGAAAATAGCTTGGGGCCAAATGTCAGGATGTGGTAGGGAAAACAAATAGTTGTCTTTCTGCTGGTGCACTGGCTTACTCAGAAACGTGATTTGGAACTTGTGCCAGTGTTTGTGCAAAACAAACCTAAACCTGGATGATATTCCATAGAATTAAAGTTGCTCTAACTGAATGCTTAGCTCAAAGGTAATGAAAACTGTTCTATATTTGACAGGGAATTATATACTGTACATAAAATAACACTAAAACACCAGTAAACAAACCCTTCTGTTCTTGCTTTTCCTGAAATTGGAAATAAAGCTAAATTGCCCCTTCACTCCAATATCCTTTTTAGAAGCTCTTGAATTTTGCTCACTCAGTGGTATATTGCTGAAATGGCAAACTCTCTTCCAGTAATTTTAGGAAAAGCTATCATCAAGCTGTCAACAGTCTAAATTGAGATTAAAAGTACCAAAGAGAAACCTTCCCTGTTATCAGAGTCCCAAATAAGTACACTTGAATAGGCAGATAACATCTAGAGTGTACAGTATGAGACCACTTATTCCTCCAGTTTTTTGAGTGATTTACAGGGATGAAGTCTTATGTTAAATAGTTAGTGACATTTTTCTTCTCATCTTACCCTGAACCACTCAACCCAAAGAAAATATGTAGCTGTGAACAGATGCCTGTTCTTGGAATTAGTTTCAACTATCCCACTGCAGGGTGTAAGGAGCTTCTATCTTTCCCTCTGACATGTTATGTGCCCTAAGCTCATGTTGGTCTTCAGAGAGAAGATTTTCAATACTTCGTGGTCCAGAGTAGATTGAGCTTCATGTTCACAGTTTACCAAAATCAAAGTATTATTCGCTCTAGCTGAAGGTGAGAGTTCTGTCTATAGCAATACGTCTCTGAAGAAGAGGTTCCCTGAAAAGGGTTTGTTATCACTGGTGAGTCAGCAGAGGCAGGATATTCTATGTTTTTATTCATATCTGATAAGTAGCATCCTTGCTGTTTAGGCAAACCAGTCTCTATTTAGACGTTTGTTTCGATGCAGGATGCATTTTCATGTTGTGACCTGATTTTTGCTAGGGACAAAAATGGGATTATAACTATGGTCTGACATAGAAATTGATGGCTGGTCTCCAAAAGCTTAGTATACTAATCTGCTCAGTTACTTAGCTCTTAACATTTTTATATACTATCAACTAGGAGTCCAACAGCTACAACGAAGAAGATTTCTAAGTTACAGCCTTTAATAAACTATTAGCATGATTAATTTTCATTGTTGTGGATTTCTGATTATCATTCTTGGGTTTGGTCTGGCAACTAAGATTTGCATCAGTATTTAAGCTTTTTCTTCCAAAAACATTATAGCCCTGTTTTACAGCTTTATCTCTATCAGATGTTGTAAATCTGGTTTTGAATTCTTCACAATTAATAAAAATATATATACTTTGAGGATAAGATTAATTACAAAGTAAGACTGAGGTGGATTCCTTTGATTGACTTCTGCAGCTTACAAGTCAATATCTCATTAGGGAACAGACTACATGAAAAATAGTAATTATTCTCTCAAGACTCACTTTAGTAACTTAACATGAGATTCAAGAAATAGTTTAGCTTTTGTATTTTTCTCTTTATTTGCCTTATTTTTGCTATTAGAAATTATTGTGTAACTTTCAGTGAACACTATCTTTTTTGTGGTCTATTAAGACACATCCTCTTTTTATATGTGTTGAAATGGGTAGATTGTAAATACTCCAGAGCAAACTCTATATCTGAAACTGGACGTATCACTACCATGATATCAATAAGTTAAACTGAATTTTAAAAGCTGATGATGATTCATACTCACCAACACAATCCTTTATTTTCGTATCTTCTCCCAGCAATGCAACACTGCTTCTATATAACTAAAAAACAAGATGGTAAATGTGGTTTGTGTTGGCTTTACGTTGCTCTTTCCTTCAACAGAAACATCCAACTGAAGGAAGATTAGTTTACTGTAAACTATAGCTCTACAGTTTAATTTTTTTAAAATTGGAATGAGAGGATCTTGACATTTTATTATGGAGAAAGATTTTGGTTTATTCTCTTCTCCCTTAACATTTTGGTATTAAGGGTTCTGAGCTAGTCTTCTTGGGTATTTAATTCTTTTATTAGACTTTTGGTGTGGGTTTTAAGTGTTTATTATTAACAATTCTATATACTTTTACACTGTTTTTGCATAATAGGCACTATAGTTTGTAATAGATCATTTAGTTTACAGGATGGTGGAACAGGAAACTATTCTTGTTCTTTTTAGTTTTGAAAAGTAAGTCTAATCCCAGTTTTCTATTTTCTGTCTCCTTTCTTACATGTAGACTTATTCATAACTTCCTCTAGGTAAATATCAGTGTGTTTCAGCAAGAGGAACATTTTTAGTTTAGCATTGCTCAAAGATTTCCTGATGATAATTTTTTTAAGTTTTTATCTGTACGAAAATATTCTTTTAACAATGATACTTCATTTATGTTGTTGTGTAAACTCTTTTGAGTACAGCTACCTTAAGGGACTGCAAGCAGCTTTAACAAAAAACAAATTAATCCTCCAAGGCTGGTGACTCTGTGCACCTGTAACCACATCATAGCACTCATCTTGCAGGTGCATCCGCTTTGTATAATAATTGACTTCCACTCAGAATACTGATAATGTTTGTTTTACCACACAGGCCTCCTGTGATGCTGCTTCTGCCTCTCCAGAGATGCACTATACACCTCTGCCTTCTGGATCCAGAGACCTCACCAATCACAGAGGTATGAACTAAACTTTTATTGGTATGAACTGCTGCAAGGTGATAAGCTGCACTGAAAGGCCTTCTCTGTATTAGTTACTGCTGCATTTCACTTTACAGAGAACATCATGCCTTTCAAACACTAGATGAGAAAACCATATTGTCAAGACTACAAATTTTAACTCATATTAAATAGGATTTAAAGGTAGTCTACTGGGAAAGCAAATAAATCTATGGATTATAACATTCAGTGATTTTTGTGTTATGTGTGAGAGAAAAACGTGAAGAAATTAGAGTGCTTAAACATTGCTAAGTAGATGATTACCTGCAGCATTGGTAATTTTGAGAGAATTTGTAAACTTTCTAGTATTTGTCAAGTGAGAGCTTTTTGGCAGTTTAACAGTTTAGGACTATAATTTTGAAATGTTCACACATTTTCATTGCAATAAAAAGGGATTTTTCTCTGTTTTTCAACATTAAGGTGGATCAGTGTTCAATTTCCTTTTTCATGAATCCTTAGATCTTAAAAAGCACCTTGGGCAAATTCTCAAATTCCTTCTGCATATCTATGGAACAAAAAGTTCAGGGAACAAGTGGAAAACTGAAGCAGTCAGGAAGGGTACATTCCAAGCTTTTTCACCTCTGTTTAAAAAAAAAGAAAAAAAAAAGGAGAAATTTGTAAAGCTTGGAGCTTTTTGCTTTTTCAGCTTTTAGCCTAAAACAGAGCTATGATCCTCTTATTTCCTATGTTATACATTAATTTTACATTGATCATGTAAATCGTTCTTGTAGAAGTAGATTTTGTATAGCATACCAAAGTCAGCCTTAAATTTATGATTTGATGGTAGCTTATTTTAGTATATGTTCAAATTCTACAGCACTACAGAAGATGGAGGCAGCTTTAATAGATTATCATATTGCTTGAAACTTTCTGAGAGAATCAAGCAGGCAATGCACCTGAACAAGGATCTGTGATTCAGGTGGGAAGGATGAGGAAAGCAACAGGTTAGATTTTAACTCATCCCAGCCTATATAACTTTCATTGTACCAGAACTGAAGATGAATATGAAGCTACATCCTGGCCTTGGTGTAAATTGATATGGGCATCCTGGAAATCAGATGTCCTAGAAGTGCTGTAGTGCATTGTGTTCTGACACTGACCTCACGTAGAAACTGATATTTTTAAAGAGAAAGGACCAACCAAAATCTTGGAATTGAGCACACAGCTGGACTTCATGGATTAAAATAAAACCAGAACTTCCCAAAAAACCATCAACCCTTTGCCCTCCTGCCCTTCCCCCCCTGCCCCGATAAGTGCCTTTGAATTTCATATAAGCATGTTGGCTTTGAGGTTGGATTTCTGGTGTTGGATTAAATAGCTGTAGTCTGCCAAGACAATAAATAGAATCATAGAACGTTTTACATCTCTGACTTCAATAAAAATACATAAAAAGTACCATCAAATGCCAGGTATTTTCAGATCTTTTTATTTAGATGATAGTGAATTGGAAGTGTGACTTCATGGCTGATTTTGTTATCTGACTTGGCAAAAGAAATGCCAGTAGCATTAAGAATGAAAAGCTGAGTGCCTGCATTATTGATTGACTTCTCTTGCAATAAAACAATTGTGTGGCTCTAGTAGGCATTGCAGGCATGTCCATGAGGCTGTTCATTCAGAACTGGAGCTTGCCAGGTTCTAAGCACCACTGGCATCACTAAGATTTGAGAATACCTGCTCTCTTGCTAAGAAAGGAGGAAATTATATTCCCCAAATTATGAACTTTTTATCCGTCGCTGTTCACTTAATTCTTTATTACTTGTCTTTACTCTTCTCAGAGATATTATTCTCTGCATGCTAAATTTTCTGGGAAGGTTCTTGTGATTAAGTACAGTTATAAATACAGTGAATGGAGAAGAGAGTTTCATCCAAAGAAAGGGTAAAATTAGCCCTAAAAAGATATTGTTAGCATGATTTGATAAGTTTATGTAAGTATATATAAATATATTTACAAGGAAATAATTAAGGAAACTTTTCAAAATTCCAGGTGTTGAAACAACCAATTCAACAACCTGCTTGGCAGGGTCCATTAACTCAGTCAACTTCTTTTATACAAAGAAAAATCTCTAACTTCACATGCCCATAAAAGATTAATTGGAGTCAATAGAAAAATCTCCAAGGAAAGAATGAAATACTTTAACATGCTATTTTAGGTTCTGAATATCTTCAAGTTTTTTCTTCACCGAATGCTTGCAGTGTTGTAAAATAGAATTGAGTCAGCTGTTGATATGTAAACATTGGCAGTTTTCAATGCGTACTGGAAAGAAGAATGCTGTAAGTTTGTGAGTGTTCTTATTTGTCCCTGGAGAAACTTATCAGAATCTTAGTCTGGCAAATGGTTTGGTACAGCTGTAAATTGATTTTTGGGCTGGGAGAGGGAACGGGAGCAAGCTGGATGTATTTGATTGGTACAGTTATATTTAGACATTTCTCACTCTATTTACTCTCCCTGCACATATAATTGTGCATGAGTTACACCATATATCTTATAGCTTTTGTGTTCATGCATACAGCATGTAATTTCCAGTCAGGATCTGGTCTTCTTAGGTTGACTCCATGTTTTGTACACTCAATGTCAGGAATGGTAAAAATCTCCTTTCTCTTTCAAAGCCCACAGAAACAGCATACGACCGTGTGACATAAGCATGGAATGATATGGAATAAACACTATAAATATTCTATCGCATGAGTGTTATGATGTTTGAGTATGAAAAGAGCAATAAATGTTGGATATGTATTTTGAAGCTTTAGAAAATTTCTCCCCATTTTTGGAAAGTTGTTTTCTCTTGTATTACTTTGTTGTTTAGACCCACTTCTCTAAGCTGAACTTTCACTCAATCCCACTGTTCATATATTTCAGCAAAAAAATGTATTGGCCTTCTATTTAGGTTGTGGTTATCTGACAACAATATGATTTGATTCTTTATGTGATCTAATTGCGGTCCCATTAGGCAAGCCTTCCAAAGTGGTAATTTTGTAGCTGACTGTGTTTTTGTTTTGATTCCAAAATAATGATCTCAAACTCCTAAGGGTTTTTTCTTGATCTTTGTTGAACTAGCATTTTGTATTTCATTTTACATGGATTTAGACTGCAGTGATTTACTTGTATGAAATATAACTATTTGTAGAGTTCTCTTACCTGCTTAAAACACATCAGTTTGAAGACACAGCCTCCTGCCATACAAAGCACTTCATTTATTTCTAAATTCCATTGCTTGTATTGTGCTAATTTTCAATTTTTCTGATGAAATAAAATAAATGGGCCACGCCTTTCTATGTGCTTGCCAAGATCTACCTTTGAGGAAAAAAAAACAAAAAAACAATCAAACAGAACAGTTGCTTATTGTTGTTTTTAAATAGAAATGGCCATGCTTCCAATACACAAAAGTAATGAAGTGTAGTGCCTTTTAGCAGAAACTCAGTCCAAATATTTTGGGGTTTATGTTATTTTTTAGGGGTTTGTAGGTATGGCCCAGGTACATTTCTGTTCCTTATCGATAATTTATTAACTGGCTACATATTTTAAAATAGAGCTTTCAATTATTAACATAGTTGGCATTGATGAAAAAGAAATTTAAAAAATCATAATAATGTATTTTTAAAGATTTTTTTTTTTAATTGTGGAAAAAGGCTTCACACCCTTCATGCCACTCAAGTTGTATATTTGTTTTTCATAATGGAGTCTTTGGTAAGGAAGTGCCTTTATTATGTGTAAGCATTCAAACTCAAATTACCTTCTTAAAGAATAGTGGTTTCCAGTTGCTGGGGAAAATAGTACTTTATCATTCTATCTCTTGAGAAGCAGTATCACTAAATCATGACTATCATGAAAATCTGGTTTTCCTATATAAAAGCATGTGCTGGATGCCCTTTGTATAAACAGTTACTTTATAAGATTGTCTATTACCTGATTTACTTGAAAACATATTAATTTCCCAAAGCAATTTGGTTTCCAGTAACATTTTACAAATGACTCCTCCTTTTCTTGTGCTGTTGTTTCTGGGAACAACCAGTGGTAAGTCTGCCCCATAGCTTACTGGTAAAAGGAAGAAGAAGCAGTTTCTATTAAAAACTAAGCCTGTATTTATGTAAGTAGTTTTTAGAGCCTTAGCTTGGATTTAGGCCAAGGTTTAATAGTTCCAATCTATTCTAACTGGTAAGAACTTTCTGAACGAATCTGCTTTCCTGTTTTGGTGTCTATACAGTTAATTATCCAGCTATTCTGGTATGTGAAGGCATTACATTGTCTTGTTTTATGTTTGAATGATGAGTACCCAAATGAATATTTATTCTACCAATATGTTTGAAACAACTGACAGATATGTTTTCTTATTTTCTAATCTGATTTTAAAAAATCATAAAGTGAATTCAGAGCCAATGTCCAGAAAAGTAGGGACAGAATGTTTTAAAGCTTCCTATTAACCCTCTGACAGTAATTTTTATAGAGGTTTTTTGAACAAAGGAAATTTTTCTCCTGCTCTCAGTTTCTCTTTTTCTCTATATTCCTAAGCAAGTAAAAGTATGTAGGCATATAATCTGATAGAGAGACACCTGAACTTAATGTGTTTCTTCTTTTCTGTGATCATTTTACTGTGCTATTGTACTCAGAGTGTACATAGAACACACAGAGTATGCATAGTAAATTTTTGCTAATGCCTGGTATATCTATACAGAATTCATGCTGATTGATTTTTAGGGTGTACCACACAGAAAACCAGCCCATAGCTTTGTAGTAGTTGAAATACAAACTAGATCAAGACAGAAGTGGACTATAGAATGTACAGCAAGTGTTTAGCCACCCAGTTGTGCTGGAGTTCACAATCCAGTAGATATCAAAGGACACCTACTACTTTCAACGGTTGGTGTTGAAGGAAAAAGGTAGAACTTTTGGGGAGGTAGTGTAATTGCAGTGACATATGAAAGTCCCAAGCTATCCTCTGAGGATTTACCTGTTGTGCCTCAAT